AGAAAGCACTTTCAATCAATGATTTTGGAAATTGTGTGGTCAGAATTCTTCATGAATGAATGAAACGAATTCTCATTTCAGCTTTTCCTTCTTAACTGTACTCCTCACATGCACGTAAAGCAGAAGTTAAGAATCTCCACACTCTGATGCACACACACCTATTTTGCTCAGTTTCCTGCCTTCTTCCTTTGGAAAGGGAAGTTTTAAATGTAATGGCTGCATTAGATCAGCTTGACTTTTGTACATTAGCGCAACTGGAAAGGGGAAGCTGCTGGAGAGGTCACGGTGACCCAGGCAGCCTGAGACAACGAAGCAGGCCGTGAGGATTTTGTTGGAAATAGGGCCAAGGCTGTAGGAGAAGATTCTCTCTGGCAGGCATCTGGCTCCCGTTGCTCATCAAAATGATTGTTTCAGACTCAGGTCAGGGCATAGGCTGATGGGAGGAAATTCTCTTAATTGCAAACTGGCAGTTGGGTGAGGAAATCAGGACAGGTGTAATTTTAATAAATTGGTAAATGTTAGACTTTCTGTGCTAGTAGGTAGGTGGGAGTTAGTCACGTCTATTTATGCATAGGTCTTTACACAGCCAGGGATTATTTAAAAGTATCTTGTACTAAAGGGATTGTAGGGGATCATGAGAGCACCACAGAATTGTACCAGCTAGTTTACTACCTTTTTATCTTTTCAAATGTAGTTATCCTTCATATTCTTGGTACATTCAGTCATTTCCTTCCTTCTTCCCTCCCTCCCCCCTCTTTTTCCCTTCCTTCTTGTCTTTCCCTCCCCTCCCCTCTCCTTTTCGTCCTCCCCTCCTTCCTTTCCCCCTTCTTTCTTCCTCCCCTGTTCGTCCTTTAACTTAGCTGCCAGGCTTTAGCTCTGAACTGAGTATTTGTGAGGAGGTTTTGCACAGAGCCTGTCTTTTAGGTGGCTCACCTTAACATACACACACTCACACGTGTGTCTCTGACACAGTCTCTCACTCTTCTGTGGGGGCCATTGGGAGAGAAGACAAAAGCTCCCCCAACAACCTGTATTCTTTTTGGTGGGTGCATCTCATGCCCTGTTTTTGGGCAGTTCCCCCTTTCTATGGTTCTGTCCTTCAGATTGTATGCTTACCGTGTGCACATATGTAAGATTTCAAGTGCAGACGCGAACGGAGCAGGAGACAGATTTGCACAGTTGCCGTCTGGGCCCTTGTGTGGATGCCAAGGTAGTGCTGCTGAACGAAACAGGAGATGTTGCCTGGTGCTGAGGAAATGGGCTGGAAAAATCTAAACTTCATGAGTGGATCAATTGTGTGGGCGTTTTAGGCTATCCCATCTTGGTCTCATGATTGGCAGTGTTGTCAAAACCTTCTTTATCTAGAAATAAAGTTACAGGACACACAGAGACACTTTTCAAAATGTCAGGAAACAGAGTGGGGTAATTTAGTTGAAAATGATGAAAATGTATCACACCTCCAGAAGTGCTCGCTGCAGGGTTTGATGTGTCCACGGTGAAGGGCAAGTTGACGGGCTTAGAGGAGCTAAGGGGAAAGCGATGAAGAGATGCCTGGACACAGTATTTCTGGGTGGAGACAGGAGCCCCTGGTCAGGCAGAAGCCCATTCTTTGCTCTTTAGCTTGTAGGAGCTAATCATGGTTATGTGTGTGTCTCCACAGCGCAAGGGCAGCATGTGAGCTAGTCCTTAGGGACACTCTCAGAAACACTGTCCCTTCATTCCCTGTTTGTTCATCTTACCTGAGGGGCTAGTTAGTTTGGGATTAAATTTAGATTTTATATATTGCTAGCTTTTCTACTGCCCTCAAATATCTAGCTACCACTTACTCGCTTCTAAAAAATTAGCAACATTTATTGGATATTGGTTTTGTTCTGGGACAGGGAAAGGGGAAGAATCAACATAGGACTCTTGCTATGTTCTGCAGCAGGGAGACGACCCAGTTATTGTAATGGAGGATCAGTTTTAGCTGGGCAGGCTACCTTCTGTCTTTACCTCATTCCTTTTATTTGTCTTAGTGCTCAGCTCATAGGAAAGGAATTCTATTTTTCTAAGTAAGAGTTGTCAGGGCTGTGGTAGTGCACACCTTTAATCCTAATACTTAGGTGGCAGAGGCAGATGGATCTCTGTGAGTTTGGGGCCAGCGTGTTCTATAGAGTGATTTCCACAGCAGCCAGAACTATATAGTGAGACCCTGTATCAGAACCCATCCTCCTTCCACAAAAGATAAAAGCAGATGAAGTATGGATGAATACACTCTCAGAAAGTCTGTAGAAAAGGTACATTTAAGACACAATGCTGAGCTGAGAGAAAGCACACAATTTGCTTGGAAGGGACAAGATGCAGATAAGGGGAGGCTTGATGGGGAGATACAGGAATTGGATCCTAGAATTGTTTCCTGGAACTTCCAGAATGGTACCCAACCAGAAGAGTAATAAGCAGGGGTAAAGACGAGAAGGCCTAGATACAAGGTAGTTGCAGCTAATTCTAGCAATTTGAGATTATAAGGCTAGTAGGGGTAGGAATGTGGTGGACCAGCATTGAATCTTGAAGAATTTCGTCAGTAAATAACAGTCCTGAATCAAGGCAGGGTCTGGCTAGGGAATGAGGGCAAGGAAAGATTAGGAGCAAGAAGGCAGATTTCATTCTTTCATCTGCTCTCAGTTGCAGAATATCTATACCTTAAACTGTACTGGAATGTAGGAGCTAGCTAAGGGGCATTTCTTCTTGTGGAAGGAGCAGCCCTTGATGCTTCCATTGAACCCCAATGTAAGCAATGCTTGTGTAACGTACCCTTTGTACTCTTAAAACAAGGTGAAGAAAAACGGGTGCTATCAGAATCAGCTTGGAGTTGGTGATGACTGTGTTGTTGATTTGCCACATAAACTCAGGAATGCATTGTTTTGATGCTGTCATTAATATCAGGGACAATTCTCTTAGAGTTTGGAAGCAAACAACAGGCAAGCAGAGTATAAATCTCAGCAGCTTCTGGGTGGAGGGACAGGGTAGGGAAGCGGTGGTGCCTTTAATTTGGATGTGGAGGTCCGAGCTGAAGGAGAATGAGAAGTTGTGATCCGCTGGGTAGTAACTGGAGGTTCTGCTGCCACGGTGCCTTCATCTAGGGTTTAAAGTAGTTCACCCACTCGGCACTTTCCATGCCAAGGCAAAAGTGACTTGTGACATGGCTGTCTATCGTGCCAGCAAATGGTGTGGCTTTCTTGTGCTACCAAATGCATGTTTGTGCCAGGGAGGCAGCAAGGCAGTGCCCTGCTAAACACTTCAATCACTGGAAAGGTCCGTGGGATGTATCCTATTTTCTATTTACTTACTTTATTTTGAGACAGTCTTTCTGTAGCCCTGGCTGTCCTGGAACTAAATATGTAGACCAGGCTGTCCTCAAACTCACAGAGATCTACTCGCTTCTGCCTGCCGAGTGCTGGGATTGAAGGTGTACAACCAAACCCAGCGTTCTTGTCATCTCTACCCCAGAGAGAAAGCAAGTGCATAGAGAGAGGCCATTTCATTCCTTGGGTTGTGTGTGTCCATCTAGCCTTGCGCAACTTCTTCTGGATTTAAAGAACTTACGTTAATGAAGGTCAGCTTCTTAAACGTGGCTGTCTTGAACCACTTTAGGATCAGACTGATTGGAGGCTGATGGAACCTGCATGTTTTCCAGAATCCCGGGCCTTACTGCTGCCATTGCCACGTTTTCTTTAGTTTGTAGATTTTTGATACAGGAAATCCAATATAATATTTTAAGGGTAATAAATGAAGCATTTTTCGATAAAGCCATCCCAGAACAATAAACATTCGCACGTCAGGCATTAATACCGACTCTTCCCTTATAGTGCTTGTACGTAGGTGGAGAGTTTCTTCCAGGCATTCTTCAGGCGGTTTTCGAATAAGATGTTTGAGGGGAGGGGCCGCAGGATCTTCAGTCATCGATTCTCTCTTTATAACTTTGCCCTTTTCCCAGGAACAGATGACTCGTGCAGGGCTCCCAGACTGAATCACAAGGAAGAAACTTTACATAAACCATTTATACTACATGTTTGGTATGCTGGCGGCATAAATCAACAACAATATCCATTACAGATTCCTCCCTGTATCAGTATTATCTTGATAGAACCGGGCCCGATGTGTGGGAATTTGAACTCTGATTCAATACATCTAGCCCTGGATAATTAATTATTCAGGGCACAGAGAACCTGGCCCTGCGATGTAGAGTAATTCTTCCTGGTCAGCGTTAACTCCACTGGCAATAATAAATAGGAAAAGTCTCCAGTGATGCCAGTATTTTAAAGTGATTAATCATCTCGTCCCCCTTCTCCTCCCTCTTAGTTTTCTTTAACTAGGATTTTTCAGCAATAAATCTCTAACAACACAGGTAGGAATTGTTCTGTAATTAAATTTTGCCCTGCTTAATTTCTTACCTTTTATGTGCTATTAAAAAATGCTACATTTTAAGGAGCCCTGATCAAAATTCAAAGCAAGAGAAATCCTTTTATGGAATACTGAGACTCTCTACGGAAGAGGAAAGTCTTCATTTTGAATATTAGATAGGCATGCACTCATAAAAATTGTTCGTCAACACCAGTTGGGGTGTCAGATATTCCAAGGATTTGAATTGCTTAGCTTCCATGTTTATGGCTTCTCTGTATTAGAAAAAGTCTGACACATACATATGTTCCCACATGGAGAGAATAATTACTTATTTGAGAAATAAGTTTAAAACTTCCCGATAATTGGTGTCAGCTCGGTAGGAAAGGACGAGTCCCATCACTTTAATCTCACACAACATGCACTTGCTCAGGAAGCAGGTAAATGTTGCCCAGGGATTGAGCGCAGATCTGCAGATGGTGCCCTGTAGAGCTGCCTAGCCATCACATAGATTCCAGGTGACAGGGACCTTCGTGACATATCTGTTGTGACACACTTCTCTACCACAAGTCCGTGGCTCGAGGTGACTCCTGTCCCTCCCCTTGTGCTTCTCTCTGCTGCAGGACAACACAACGATGCACGGATGAACCTCGCCATTGCCCTCACCGCTGCCAGGTATGGGGCTGCCACAGCCAATTACATGGAGGTGGTGAGCTTGCTCAAGAAGAAAGACCCCGAAACTGGGAAAGAGCGTGTGAGCGGCGCACGGTGCAAGGATGTCCTCACAGGTATGCCAGGGTCCACAAGGGAGGCATTTCTTAGCATTTGGCTGTGCTTGTATAATGACTGAGCTAGGATTTTTCTGTCACTTTTCTTTCAGTGAAGGCAGACTTCAGTCATATTAATTATATTCTTTATTGTCAACAATGCCTGGTTTAACATGAAAATTTTCCCTTGTGGGACTTGCCAATTTTTCCCTTTTGTGTTAAATAGTAACACTAATGATAAGGATAATAATAAATGCCCGCAGAACTCTCACAGCTGTGAATGCTTTTCATTTCCCTTGCAGAAACATGTGATTAATAAAATTAAATCAATGTGCCAAGTCTTTGAGCATCACTTAGGTGGCACAGGCAGGGCATTTACACGTCCTTTGAGTCAATCACTTATAACTCAATGAGATTTCCATTCTTGCCACAGCCCTAGCCCTGGGTAGGCAGCTGCAAAACCGCATCATTTCCTGTCTCTCTCTCTCTCTCTCTCTCTCTCTCTTTCTCTCTCTCATCTCATCTCTCTCTGTGTGTGTGTGTGTGTGCGCGCGCGCGCGCGCACGCGCGCGTGCATGCACGCTTGCATGTGTGCCCATATGGACAATGGCATAGCGTGAACGTGGAAGTTAGAGGACAAGCTTGGAGTCCTTTTTCTCCTTCCACCATGTAGATTCTCTGGATCGAACTCAGGTTGCCAGGCTTGGTGTCAGGTGTCTTAATCCCCTGCTGTAGCCAGCTGTTTCTTTCATGTCCTTTCCCCTTTCTCCCTTCCTTCCTTTCCTTCTCTTTCTCTTTGCTTTTGCATTTTAAGGACACACCATTTAGTCCTGCCACTTTCTTTGTGTTTAGTAGTTTGGTCATAGGCACTTTATATGGCTCTTGTTTCCCAGTGCTGGGGATTGATCCCCACTTTTCAAATACCAGGCAAGAGCTCTACCACCGAGCTATATCCCCTCCCTCCAGATCATAGGCTCTTTACGAATAGACTGAGAACCACAATGGAAAGGTGGTTGGCTTTCTTCCTTTTTAATTCAGACTTGTTTGGGGTAAATTTACTCAGAAGTGAGACTTTTGGTTGGCTCCTTCAGTAACTGTGGATGTGCATGTCACGTAGTGTGGAATGTGCGTTTCCTCGCCATCAGTTAAGTTAATAGATGGACTAAGAATCCAGCGCTGGTGAGCAAAGAACAAATGGAGTATGTAATCGATGCCACTTTTCTTCACAGGGCAGGAGTTTGACGTGAGAGCCAAATGTGTTATCAATGCCACCGGACCTTTCACAGACTCCGTGCGCAAAATGGATGACAGCAATGCCCCTGTCATCTGCCAGGCCAGTGCAGGTGTCCACATTGTGATGCCCGGGTACTACAGGTAACACCATTCAGTGATGACACCCATCGCCCAAGAAAAAGGCTCGCAACACACTAAGTGTCTTCTGTTACACTCTTAGAATTTTTTTGAAGTGTTTGCTGTGGTTTATTTACATTTTTTTCATTGTGTATATTGGTCTATGGTTCTGATACATGAGGGACACTTTCTGACATTCATTGTACATTGAGTATGTTCCTCCTGTGTCCTCTGGCTTTCTCTCCCCTCCCCCCCATCCCACACGTCCCCCTTGGCTTATTCTCTCATGTTGTATATACATACACAATTTTAAGGATCTTTATAAAAATCTAGGAAACACACGAGAGAAGACACGCTATTTGTGCTCCTGAGACTGGTGGAATTGGTGTGATACGATTCTGTCCAATCACGTCCTTCTTCCTGTAAGCAACATGACTTCATCCTTCTTCAGGATGAAAGAAACTGCACAGCGTGTATTCATCCCCTTTCCTCTGTTGCCGGACACCTAGCTTGGCTTCTTAACTATTGAGAACAGTGTGACAGTGATATGGATATGCAAGCGTCTGTCACATGTTGCCTTGGAGTCTTTTGATAAATATCCAACAATTATCATTATGGAAATGGAATTATCATATAGTAGACATTTTTCTGTTTTTAGCTTTTTTTTTTTTGGTTTTCAGAACCTCTATGCTCGTTTCCATAGTGACTAGACTAGTTTATACTCCTACTAGGAGTGACTAGGGCTCCCCATTCGTATTCCTGCCAGCATTTGTGATTATTTGCTTTCTTAATAACTGCAGTTCTCACTTATAATTGATGACAGTGAATGTTTTTTTTTCATGAATTTATTGGCATTTGTTTTTTGTCTTTTGAGAACTTTCTCCATCATTGGCCCAGTCAACTTATTGACTGGCTTCCTTGATTGATTTCAAAACATTTTTATCACATTTACATATTTGTGTGTGTGCATGTTGTGTGCATATGCGTAGACGTGTTCACGCACAGACACACACATGCCTACAGGTGATCATGTGCAAGTGTGAATGCATGCATGCCATGGCATGTGTGTGGAGGTCAGAGGACACTTTGTGTGTTACTCTCTCCTGTGTAGGTCCATGTGTTTGAACTCAGGTCATCAGGCTTGGCAGTAGACACCTTTGTCTGCTCCTGGTTTGTTTATTTATTTTTTTCTGAGTTTTTGTATATTCTAAAAATGAGCACTATGTCAGATGTATGACTAACAAGAACTTTCTTCTATTCTGCAGACATTTTTCATTTGATTAACTGTCTTCTTTGCTGTGCAATTTTCAGTTCCATGAAATCCCATTTGCCAGCTGTTGGCATTATTTTCTGAGCAACTGGAGTCCTCTTCAGAATGTCCTTGCCTGTGTCTGTATCTAGCTTCATGCTTTCCATTGACGTCTTTGACCTATCTGAAGTTGTTTTGTGGATGTGGATGTCCAGTTTTCCCATCTGTGGTAGAGGCCATCTTGTCTCTGGTGTGTGTGTATTTTTGGCATTTTTGTCAAAGATCACCTGACTGTATCTGAGTAGGTTTTAATCTGTGTTCTCTATATTCCATCTCAATTATTGTTATTAACACCATTAATATGTAATATATCTGTGAAAAAGTCTGTAAGACTATGCTAAGAGTACAGATCATCTAGTAACTAGTAATTCTTCATGAAATGTTTTATATACAAAGTTGTTCATTTTGACATTATTAAGAAAGATTAGAAACTACTTCCATTCTATTTTGGAGAAATAAATTGATTATGGCTTACTTTCATATTAAAACTATAACTTCAAATAACTTTAGTAGACTAGAAAAGGTCTAATGATACAATGGTCCTTCAAAATACATACCTAGACATTGTGTAGTAGGATCTAAGACATACATGTGTCTACAGATTTTTTTGCAGAAAGATCAGAAATATGTTGGAGATTAATGTCTAGATCATATGATTTTGTATGAAAGTGTTCTTTAAATATTTGAAGTATCTGATGAAGTAGATCTGTGGGAAGCACCTTGCATTGTTTAACCACCCACGTTTTTCTGGCCTACTAGCTTGTTTAAAAGATGAGAACACAGACGCAGCTTTTATCTTCACTGCTGAGATTTTTCTACATCTTTCTCCTCCTTCTTTTTCCCTTGCCTCTCTGTTTCTTTTTAAACAGAGTTTCATCTGTAGCCCAGGCTGGCTTCCAACTCTGCATCCTGCTGCCCCAACTTCGGAGTGCTGGGATTGCAAGCTTTCTGTTCAGCAGCAGCCTTGTGGGCTTAGGTTTCCTTCTCTGTTGTATCACTCACCCACAGAGGTCTTAGGCTATCCTGACACTTCAGCCATGTCTTTGGCAGGCAAATCTTATTTCCTGAACTCTAGTTTACCCATTACTGGGAAAGGAATTGCCATGTTCTTGTAGAGTGGTTAGCTAAGGAGCGGCAGTTGTTACTTGCTATTGAACCTCCTGATTGGTTACTACCTTCCTTTCAGCATCGACCCCTCATGAAACTACTGTGGACTTCTGGTCCTGCCTCATCTTAGCACATAACTTGTACAAGGTTTGGCAAGGATCCATTTTGAGACAGCATCTAATCTGTTGTCCTGAATGGCTTCGAATTCCTACAGTCCTCTTGACTCAACCTGCTTAGAACTGGGTACAGGCATCTGTTGCCGCACTCAGCTTTATCTTGTTTTCTTAGCTGCTATATCCTTAATGTCTGGTTAGTGTAGAAGCTTGCTAACTTTGGTAGCCATAGACGTTTTGAGTATAGGCTAGTAGATAAAGAGTTAAGCCGTGTGCACTCTTGTTGGATTATTTGCAGAAGTACCTTTATGGAATAGTAAAATTTGATATAACCCTAACTAATATTCCACATGTGGAATGACCATAAATTCCAAAAGCTGTTACCATGAACAGCTTTTAGGCGTGTGTTTGGGGGAAGTAGGGATGGTTAGTATTTTTTTTTAAGAGATGTATTTTCTTTTATCTGTGTTGGTGTTTGCCTGCATGTCTGTCTTTGCGTCACATGCACTCTTAGAACTTGTGCATGGAAGTCAAAAAGAAGGTGTTGGATTACCTGGTCTTGGAGTTACTGATGGACTAGGGACACCATGTGGGTACTAGGGATCAAACCTGGGTTCCTTGAAAAGCAACCAGTCTGTTAACCACTGAGCCATCCCTTCAGCCCCAGTATTTTAATTTTATTATTTCAGTTGTGTGTGTGTCAGTGTAAAGTGTGTATGCACGCATGAATGCAGGCGCCTGCAGTGCCCAAAAGGATTGGAACCCCTGGAGGTGGAGCTCCAAGCTGTGAGCCACCCAATAAAACTGCTTGGAATAGAGCTCTGGTTCTCTGGGAGAGTGCCGGTGCTCCCAACCACTGAGCCATCTCTCCAGCCCCAGAAGAATTATTTCAGCTTGAGAAAACTCAATATACAGAAATCATTTTTGTAAATTTAATTTTAAAAACCAGCCTAGAGTTTTCCTCAGAACCGTGCTTTCTTCCTACAGCAACACTAGCACTCCAGTTGACTGCGGTGCGCTAATGCAATCACCTCTTCCTTTTAGCCTGCTTTTTACTCCTGACAAGAGGTCAATTTTTTTTTTTCTGTAATGTGTGTACATACTGTTAGCTCTAACACTGATTGCTAAGTGGTTAACAATAAATTGATTTCAGTTTAACTAAGGGTTCTTCAGGAAAGCAATGGTCTGCATGAGAAAAATGTTCATTACCTTTAATCCTAGACGCACACATAAATTAGTAAGCTTCCCCTGCCGATGCCACATGAATCATACAGATTGAACAGAGCCGGGCGCCTCTCACTTTATACTGATCGTCACCAGAGCTGACTCTTTAGGGTGACCTTGCAGAACTAATCCTTCATAAGAAAACAAACTTTCCCTCCAGGGAGACTATGAATTAGGTAATTTAGAACTGATGAAAGGTACTTCCAAGTGGATTCTTAAAATTTTATACCGTTTGTGAGTAGTTCTGTCTTCCCTCTGTGCTTGTTAACTTTATGCTTGACACATATGTCTTCACTTAAGCAGCTGATTCTCTACAGGTTCCAGGTACATGTCGCCTGGTAACTGTCACCTTCACCCTTTAAATGGCTTTTATTGCAGCGGAAGTTTCTGAGGGTCTCAGTAGTTGTGCTTTTCTGACTTTGCTTCCTGTCTAGCTCTGAATCTTGTGCTTACGTTCGTCATTTGCATTATTTGAAACCTGTCAGGAGTTGTCTACTCTGTGAGATGGTTGTATATAAATTATGCCAACATGAAATGTCTCTGAAATCTCTCAAATGCTTTTTTTTCAACAAAAAGCCATATATCAAACCAAATCTTGGAATTTGAAGTTAGTCTCCAACCTAAAGTGACTGGTGGTTTAATCGAAGGGGGTATCAATTTGGAGCTTGACATGAGATTGATCAGGAATTGTGGTTTCAAAAGATTTAATCCATTTTATAGCTGATAAAATATCAGACACTGTTTTTCAGGATGTTAGAGTGAAATTCACTTCTCCTCTGGGACCTCGGATGGTGGTGAGAGCCTTAAAGGCTAGACTTAGAATGACTGGTGCTCTTGCTTTGGCTCTTTGAGAGCTAGGCAGGGCTGGCAGCCTTGCAGAGAAAGACTGGCCTTTGTAGTTTACATAGGGAAGAAGCACTAACGAAGTTGATAAATGATTTCTGTTTTATGTAAAATATTTTTGGTTTGCTATTATAAAGATATTAGCCTCTCATCTCCTTACCCATTTGAACAAATCTTTGGAATGTTTTAAGGGTATAATAAACATAAGAAGCCTACTACATTCTCTTTAAATCTACTTGTGTAGGAGAGATTTCTTGAAAATCACTTAAAACAAATGTGGTTGTTTCCTCCCTAAGGAATTTCATTGTAGAACATACCTTTAACACTAACTGGGAGAATTCAGTCAAATGTAACAGCTGTGTAAAGATTTCTATTACTCAATTTGAATATGCCACTTTTTCAGCTCCTTCCCACTTCTTTAACGACTTCACTTTTTCTTGAAAATGTTTAATTCAAGCAATAACTTTTAGTTAACAATCCAAGGATTTTATTTTTTCCATTTAATTTATTTATTTTATGGGGCTGGATATTTTGCCTGCATGAATGTCTGTGCACCTTGAGCATGCTGGTGCCAAAGGAAGTCAGAAGAGGACATCCTTTCTCCTGGAACTAGAGTTATATATGGCTACGAGCTGCCACATAGGTGCTGGGAATTGAATCATATCATTTAAAAAAGGGGCTAGTGCTCTTAACTGCTGAGCCATCTCTCCAGCCCCATCTACAAGTTTTATTAATGCTTTTTTACAGTCGCCCATTCTTTCAAGTGTGTTTGTGAGATTGCTTTTTATGTGTTAGTAAAAATTCATGGTTAGGTTTTAGAAAGATTCTTGCATCTGTGTGAGGGGCTTGTGTTTTACTTTAATTATTGACATAATACATTAGTGTTCTCTGCTTGAAAGACTCCCCTTGCTAACCTATTCTCTCCATTTGGCCCATTCAATAACACTGTTGTTTAGCAAATTGCAAAACTCAAACAAACAAAAAAAAAACCCAACCTCTTTTCTTCTCCATGCATTTGTTGACACTCCTGTCACCTTGAAATAAGGTGAGAAGTCTCACATTTGACAAAGTGACATGAGTTCATGGAAGCATCAAGGAACAGAGGAGTTACTTTGTGATTCTTTTTCAGATTCTCCAAAGTTTGGCTCTGCTTTCTCACATACTCCAGGTTTTCTACTGTGGGTTGTACAAAATGTCAAATGTCCCAGGAAAATACTTTTCATAGACTCCAAGAAAGGTTGAAGAGTCATCGTTAATTGGCCATAATAAAAGAAATTATAGGCGTTTATTCCACTGACATTATCTAATGTGAATGATCCCAAGTATAAAAACCAAAACAACTGAAAGATAATTAATTAGCTTTGCACTGTTAGATGGGGAGGGTTGCAAGATACTATTACCACATTTGTTCAGGTCCTTATTTTTTCCCATTTTGTAAAAATTTTAGGAATGTCTTTCAATTAGAATGAAATAATAAATAATAGTTTACTTCTTTCTTATTTTACTTATTTGAACATTAATGTCAAACAGAAAAGAAATACGTTTCTTTTTATTCCAGCCCTGAGAACATGGGACTTCTTGATCCTGCAACCAGTGATGGGAGAGTTATCTTTTTCCTGCCTTGGGAGAAGATGACTATTGCTGGCACTACCGATTCACCAACAGACATCACTAGCCATCCTATTCCTTCAGAAGAAGACATCAACTTTATCTTGAATGAAGTGCGGAACTACTTAAGTTGTGATGTTGAAGGTAACATAAATGTTCTTGCAATGTTTCTTCCATCTTTGGTATCTCCCAGACTTTTCCAGACCTTTCTTGCCTTCAACTTGAAACATCACCATATCTTCCATACTATAATGCTTAACTTTCTCTCTTCCCCTCCCCTCCCCTCCCCTCCCCTCCCCTCCCGTCCTCCCCTCCCCTTCCCTTCCCTAGCCTTCCTTAGCCTTCCCTTTCATTCAATCCCCTTCCTTTCTGTGCCTTCCCCTCCTCTTCCCTCCTCCCTCCCCCCTCCTCCATCAATTGCTAATTAAGAAAATGCTCTACAGGCTTGCCTATAGCCCAGCCTTATGGAGGCGTCTTCTCATTTGCGGTTCCCTCCTCTCAGATGACTCTAGCTTGTGTCAAGTTGACATAAAACTAGCTAGGATACCTAGAACACCATGTATCCCCCTTCCCATTTTATCTCTGGCTATTGCCCAGTTTTATACCTGTTCCTCTCCCTACTCCCAGACAGAGTATTATTGGTAGCCCAGGCATGCTTTGAACTCATAACCATCCTCCTGTCTCAGTTTCTCTAGTGGAATTATAGGAGTATGCTATCATGTCTGGTTCAACTGTGCCATTTCATACTTAGACAGTTGGAAGTGGCCCTTAAATGGCCTCTTGGTTTGCATCTAAACCCTCCCTTTCCATGTATTCTGTGGTCTAATTGGTTCTATTATTTATCCTTGCCAATTGAGGCCATATACTTTTAAGCCCTTGTCCCTTTGTTTTAGTAATGACTTCTTCTGAACTGTCCTTCGTACCATCACCACATCTCATCTTGGCATAAATATTTATACTTCAGAAGTCAGTGGTCTCTCAGGGGTAGTGGTCATCCTGCTAGCATATGATGACTATATGTGCTAGTCTAAGATGTGTTCTTGGAACTCCCCATGGGAAGGGAGTCTTCATCTACAAAGCTTGTTAGCTAATTTTTGTCTGGATGCAGCTCACTAGCATTTATGAAGCCTTCTTCCCCTGTAGGATTGTTCCATTGTGTGATCATGTATTTTTGAACACATCAAAGAGCTTTAGAGAAGGGTTCAGATTACTGTTTTAGTTTAATTGATTTCTCTGTATTGTATATTATTAGTTCCTCCTAATTTAAAGTAATATACATTATGATTCTACTCTGAATAGAATCTCTTTGGGTAGTTGCAGCATTAGTAGACACTTTTATTTATTAAATAAATAATTAATTTTCTCAACCAGTATCTATGTTCAACACATATTACCTGGAGGCAGCCTTGCTTTCTTTAACATCTCTATTTATGTATCTTAAACCTTTTTGTAATTTAAACTTGATACTTTGCTTGTCCATTGTCGATCTGGATGGAGCTTAGATGTCTGGCCATGATTGCATTTCAATATAATAATGATATTCTTTGTTGTTCTGTATTTGTTGTATATAGAGTTTGTCACAAACAGAATTACAGATGTGCTCTAAGATGGTCAGAACAAAGTATAGAATGAATTCAAGAGTAGAGACAAGAATATGGACACTTTCTTGAGCCTTCCCGTGTAAATGCAGTAAGGACAAGAAGCCCTGCTGCTCACCGTGCTGGAGGCAGCCGTGGATCCAGGATGAATGTGAAAATAGGTTCCAGATAGGAGCCTTGGCATTTTTACTCTGCCTATAAGTAGAGAGAAGATTTGGCCATTCCTGCTTGGTCTCTAGAGTCCTCTTCAAATCCCTTATCCTGTGGTGATCAGGGAAGTGGAGAAACAAAGTCTACTTTCTTAATTCTAATGTTTACAAAAGTGGTAGAATACAACTGAGCAGGCTTTTCTCTTGGTGGCGTAGGCACCATCTTGAAGAGACTTGGTGTCTATTAGGTTTAGTTTCCAGGAGGTGACAGCTTGTCAGCTGTATGCATCTTTCCTCTTAAATTTATACTTTAAAAGTTTAATTAGGAGCAGCTCTTCATGGTTTCTTTGCTTTCTCATTTTTAGTTGACTGGACTCCCCTATTTGAGACGTCACACTTAGACTGGCAAAAGGATTAGCGGGAGCTCACTGTAGCTTACGGTGAAGACTTTCAGAGTTGTGGACTTTCTTTAGGTATTTTGGTAGAGTCCCATATCCTCTTATGTACTAATAAAATGTGAAAGATGCAAGCGTTGCCACTCTCCAGTCACTTTTTGAAATGTTCAACCCTTTGCCCCTTTGTGCTGTCTTTCCCAGCTCTTCTGTCGTTGAGGACCGTACCGTGTGTGTTAGACCACTTGCTAGGCAAGCATATTGTCAATCTTTCCCCCTGCTTCTAAGAGAGATGTAATTCCTGCATTTGTTGAAGCTGAGTGATAGGGACTTTTTTTTTCCCCCTCATAACTTGGTGCTTTTGGGGCATGATGAATCTTAAGTAAATCTTGCTCTGATATGACCATCTAACTACTGTACAGTACTTTGGTTAGTGGTTCTGGATTATACGGTATGATATGGGGTCCAGTACAGAGTGGATTAAGCTTCTTTGTTCATTTCAAGGAAGCTGTCAGATACGTTTATGATGACATGTGCCTGTGTGTGTGTGTGTGTGTGTGTGTGTGTGTGTAGGACAAGTATGGAGGGTAGAGGACCACTTGGTTATGTTTTTTCTCTCTCTCCCTTTATGTGGGTTGTAGGGATCGAACTCAGATTCCCCGGCTTGCACAGCAATTTGACTTTGCCCTCCGACCCATCTTGCTAGCTCAGAGCTGCAGTTTTAAGATGTTTTACATTCATTGAGATGATATAATCATATGAAAAGGTTTCATTAAATGAATAAGTAAGTTCTGAGGCTCCTCAAATGGCTCTAACCTTAAGTGAGAGAGGGAGAAGAAAAGTGTCAAATTCTATCACTCCATGGTGATCACAGCCACTGCTGCGCTTCTGCAGGATGCCTGGGAACATTTCTGCAGAGCATTTCACCTGTTGGGAATAAGTCTATGTCTTTCTTTACAGTTTAGAAAGCTTTCCATTCACAGGCTGAAATTTCTAGATTGCTTGTTTGTTCTTTGTTGAAATGGGTAATTGATAGTTCTGCCGCGCGTGTTGAGTTGGGAAGGAAAATGATCTTTTGAGAAATGTATCATTAAGTTACTGTGCGGAGGTTAATCAGAGGGATGCCGCGGTGGGTGTCGAGCTACAACCGCAGCGGACTGAGAGACAGAAGACGTGCTGGGCGCTTCCTCCAGGCGCACAGCGTTTGGGGTGCTTCTCGAGGCAGCCTCTGCACTTGCACACGGGCTTGCACATGTGCAATTAGTTGTGTTTATAGATGGCCTGTTATTCAATTAACAGCCGAGCTGGCCATATCAACTCACTGCAGACCTGCCTTTTCCCTGCCAGAGATTGTACTAGGGTTATCAACTTACACAGGCTTGGCTGTCTTCCAGCTGTTTAATTAGAGTGTCATGCGCCTTGCTTTTTCTAGTTTCATTAGTTTATAAATGTAATATGGTATCTTATTTCTGTGATTAACACTTCATTCCAGCAGGTTAAACACGCTGGTGGAGAAGTATTGATTTCTGACACTGTTTCCCTGTATTCACTTAGATGTTTTCATATCGTTCGCTCAGATTTCTTTTTTTCTTCTCTTCAAAGTGGCAAGCATGAGAAAGAACACCCCGAAATACACACCTCAATAACTAATACTAAGCAGAATCACACATTTAGTCTTTATTGTCACTTCCTCTGGCCTTCATTTTCTATTAATTTTAAAACAAACACTTGTCTTGCCCAGGATATGAAAGGAAAAGAATTAATTATAATCTGAAACAATCACATTGATCTTACTTTTTTTTTAGGAGCTGTGATAAGTTCTGTCCACCTTTCCTAGTTCTACTTTATTCTTTAGATCATAACGAAAACTGAACCAAGTGGTTTATTGAAGACATAATAGAAAGGAATTTGACAGCGTTTCACTATGTAACACTGGCTGGAAATTTCTATATAGACCAAGCTGATTTCCAACTAAGAGACCTGCCTACTTCTGTCTCCTGAGTGCTGGATTTAAAAGTGTACAGCCCTGCTCCCAGATGATTATTGTTGTTGTTGTTGTTGTTATTAGTATCATTATTGCCAGGATCTCATTTTGTAGCCTAAGCTAGTCTTGAACTCAAGGTAGTTCTGTCTCAACCTCCCAAGTACAGAGATACCATACTTTAGACACCACTCTGGGCTGCCCAGAGAACCGTTCAGTATTACAGCAACTGTCCATGGCACAACATTTAAGATACTGAGAGATCTTAGAATCTCTAGTGCTAAAGACAAGTAACATTACAAGATATGAGAGAGTCATGAACTTCTGCTTAGCCGTGTGAGTAGGATGAGGCTGAGTTCCAAGATCCAAAAGCCCCAATTTGCTGTGTTTTCTACAGATTTTCCTGTGGACACTTAGTAGTTTCAGAATTATAATTTGAGAGGAAGTGTCTTAGTTAAGGTTTCTATTGCTGTGAAGAGACACTATGATCACAAAAACTCTTGGTTTTTTGAAACAAGTGTGTCTTCATGTAGCCCTGGCTGTCCTGGAACTCTCTCTGTAGACCAGGCTGGCGTGGAACTCAAGAGATTTGTCTGCCTCTGTCTCCCGAGTGCTGGAATTAAAGGCTTGTGCCACCACCGCTCGGCTCAAAAGAACACATTTAGTTGGAGTTTGCTTACAGTTTCCGAGGTTTAGCCCACTTTTGTCATGGTTGATGGCGTGCATGCAGGCAGACATGATACTGGAGAATGAGCTGAGAGTTCTACATCTTGATCCCCTGGGAGCAGAAGCAACTGGGTGTCACACGGATGGTAGCTTTAGCAAAGTCACACCTCCTAATAGTGCACTCCCATTGGGGACCATTTTTCTTTCAAACCACAACATAGTTGATTATAAATATTTTTTATTTCTTTTATCTCATGAGATTAGTAAGAAAGGGGATTGTTTGGAATGGAAAAGAAGGACCATGAAGGCTGGTAGCATTAGGACCATGAAGGCTGGTAGCATTAGGACCATGAAGGCTGGTAGCATTAGGTATAAAAGCACACTCTTCTGAGTAAAACTACTCAAGTGTCAGTGGGTGGCTATGCCTTAGAGATGAGGACAAGGTGGTCCAGCCATCTTGGTGGTCTATTGGGATCAGCCTGCCTATGTTCTAGGGAGCTTTTAGAGACATGTATGTTAGCTATTTAAATTAAATGCAGTTTTACTTCCCTACTGGCCTAAATCATATTCCCATGGATTAGTTGCTGCTTGCTGCTGTAATTGGCTAGGGAACTGGACAGTGCCAATAGCGGACTTCCCCACACTTCAAAGCCAGTCTGTAGAACTGTCCTGCTCATCAGAGTCTAGAACATTTGAATATTGTAGAGAAAGAGATGCTCAGTTTAATGGAGTCACTGAACTGAGGGAGGCAGTTACAACTCACTAGCTTATAAAGCAGAAATTCAGACATGAGAAGGCAGAAGAAGTGTGGTTAATTTAGTGCTTGAGCGATGACTTAGGTGGATGTTAACTCTCCCACCTCTAAGTATTCCTCGCACTTCCCCAGCACTGCTTCCCTCCTGGTTACAGCATGACTGCATAGCATAGGGAAGACGAGAAGACCTAATGGGGACCTGTTATCCCCACTGCCCATTTCCCTTAGACTCTCCTTTCGTGAGGGAACTTTGTTTGGGTTTGTTTCACACTTGTGCCAGGTTTACATGTTGGTTAAATGGATCATCACTTGGGATGTCTGCCAGCGTAGTTAGCTGCCGTTCTTTTCCTTGAAGGTTAGAGTTAATGTTTCTATGCTGAGCTGTTCTGTACTCCCTGGATAGAGCGTCCAGCTGCAGTGTGAGCTTAGCCAGTACTGCTGAGTTTGAGTGATAGTGGCCACAGACTACAAACTTTTTGAGCAAGTAACATTTTGAGTAAAATCCAGAAAAATTGTTATGTCAAGCATTGGAGCGGATGGGCAGATAGTGGGTGGGTGGATAGATAGATAGATAGATACATAGATAGATTTGTGTTAGCTAGGTAGATGACGTGAGTGTAAGCTCTGGCTTAGTAGCATGAAAATCCTGTAGGTCATAAGGAATATTTCATGTTTTAAGTAGAATTTTATTATCCTTAAAATGTATCTTTCTGAGTAATTTAATTCCAATGTCCATCTGATAAATTTTCTTTTTTTATTTTGTTTTTAATCTATTTACCTACTTTTTTTAACTTAGATTGTATTTTTGAGAATTTTATACATGATTATAATAGATGCTTTCTTCTACCCCATTTCCCCTTGAATTGCTTTGTACCTCACCTACTCCCTTTGTAATAAAAGTTTCAAGCTAAAAAATTGAATGCTAAGATACTAAGCATGAAGAACTTTCCTGGTCATCGACTTTTTCTCCTTCTCTTCCTCCTCCTCTTTGTTTCTCTGTAGCTTTGGAACGTCTCCTGGAACTAGCTCTTGTAGACCAGGCTAGCCTTGAATTCACAGAGATCCACCTGCTCTGTGTCCTTGATGGTGAGTTAGGACTAGTCCCAGGAGTAAGGATGGAGGTGAGATTAATCTGCTCACTGTTTTACTCCACCCAACTTCATGAGTGAATTCCGTGTTCCTCTGTTTCAGACAGTATAGCCTTGGATGTGTGGGGTTTTTGGTCCATTAGAATGGAAGACGGAAAGCCTTGACCAGAGAGCCATTCTGCATATGCTTTACATTTTCTCAGGAAGGAAACTCTTAATTTTCCTGAAAGTGCTTCAGAATTTAGTCACAGAGCTTCAAGATTTTAAACCAGATTCCCGTTCATTGTAGCTACCAGGGAAATTTTACAGGCATGGGTGGGACTGTGCACTGGCCCCAGTGACATTGGAGGTGGGTTGGTTGTTTTATTTCTGCGTCTGAGGACTGTGTAAACTCTAATGGAAATCATAGTAATTTCCTAATTAGGTATTTTATAAGGATTAAAGCACTTTACACTGTTTATGTTGAAAAATTTTAAGACCTATAGAACTCTGTGAAGCTGGGTTACCCCTAGGCCACAGGAATCTCAGGATCACACCTATTTGAGAAAACGCGTGGCTCACAGATACTGGAGTGATAATCAGGAGTGTGCATAAAACTGACCTAGGCTGTCTACATAGGGTTGTATAGCTTGGTGTTCTTGTGGGACTCCTACCAGTGGGGTTGAGGATAGTCTCTGTCTTTTTTGCTAGCTTTGGGGACCTTTTCCCTCCTACCAGGTTGCCTTGTTCTGCTTAAATATGAGGGTTTTGCTTAGTCTTATTGTAACTTGTTATGCTATGTTGGGCTGATATCCCTGGGAGGCCTACCATTTTCTGAAGGGAAAAGGAGGAATGGATCTAGGGGAGAGGAGAGGTGGAGGGGAGGGACTTAGAGGAGAGGAGGGAGGGGAAACTGCAGTCAGGATGTAATACATGAGAGAAGAATAAATAAATGAAGTAAAAATAAAAAGATACAAGCACCAGAGGACTAGATCTGGGGCCAGAGTCCTAGCATAAGGTCCTATGTGGCGTCTGGTTGAGCAGACTGAAGCTGTAGGCTTCCTCAGCAACTCAATATGTCCTTGCTTCCCTTGTTGGGGCAGAACTGTTGGACATGCATTCCCTCTTTCCGAGTATAGTCATTTTAAGACTGGCCCTTAATCAACTACATTAAAATATGGTAGCCTTACTTTATTTGAATTAATCATTACCAGAAAGCTGGCTTGCATTTGAAACAGGATCTACATAGTTGCTACTGGTCTGAAACTTAAGATATGTGGGCTGGCCTCTCTATAGCTTGTACTAATCCTCTTGCTTCAACTTCCCGAGTAAGGGTTACAGGTTCCTGCCTTGATGGTAGATACCACTGACCTGTGCTCCTCGCCTCAATAACAAATGCTTTTTGGCAGTTAAATGATTTTTTGGTATCAGTAGTAGTATTTTGCCAGAGATAAGAAAGAATAATTTTATAGCTTCTTGAATATTGCTTTTATTCCTTACAATACAAGGATTACATAGCTCCTGGGTAGAGCCAGTATGCCCATGCCTGGGTCAATTACAGAGGTTAAGATTGAGAAAAGACCAGAGAATAGAAGTTGTCAGCAGTCGAGGAACACATCATATTGAGGAATAAAGCCAGAAAGAACCGAGTTTGATGCTGGTACACCATAAAAGGATGTTTGCCCAGGATGTGTTTGTTACTCATGATAGTTGGTTAAGGAGAATAATCCCCAGTGCGTGGGGATCAGTGGGTGAAGAGGCTGGGTCTAACAACTGTCTTTCACAGAGTTGGGCTTGCTGCAGCTGCTCATAGGTGACTGGATTGGAGGGTTACAGGGTTTCCTAATGAAGATCTTTGCAATTCTTGAGGAAAGAGCTAGAAGGGAATGCAACAATTTATAAACGTCTTATTTTCTCTTGATGGTAATCTTTTTTCCCTATTGGGGTTGGTGACACTGACTTTTGTGGCTTACTCTTTGACACCTTTGCTTGTGATTTTCAGGTCCTTTGTTCCGTTAAGCAAATTATCTTTGGGTCACAGAATTCCTACACTCATAGTTAGTTATTACATCTCTGGTTTCTTTCTCTGATCTTACCTGTGCCTCTGATTCTACTTAATGCTTTCCTCTGCATTCATACTTTTGTTTCCATGTTTTTGGTTCCTGCCAGTGAGAAGAGGGGATGTCCTGGCAGCATGGAGTGGCATTCGTCCCCTTGTCATTGATCCCAAGTCTGCAGACACTCAGTCCATCTCCCGAAATCATGTTGTCGATGTCAGTGAGAGTGGCCTCATCACAATAGCAGGTATGGGAGGAGGGGCTGACTTACTCTTTCACAAGTATTTTGTTTTTATGATTCCTCGTAGAACCTTTTTGCCCAATTTCTTGCCAAGAGGTGGCCACTGTTATTATTAGCAAATGGTTAATTATAAGAAAAATTCAGAATGCCAACCTAACAGCTTACCAATTTCTTGGTAGGTGGGAAGTGGACGACGTATCGCTCTATGGCAGAAGACACTGTGAATGCAGCTATCAAGGTCCACAACTTGAAAGCAGGCCCGAGTAGGACAGTTGGGCTGTTCCTTCAAGGAGGCAAAGATTGGAGCCCCACACTCTACATCAGGCTTGTCCAGGACTACGGGCTTGAGAGTGAGGTTCGTGGGCACCGCCACACTACCTGGCTTTCATGTTGCCGAGATCATATTCAGTGGCCAGGGTGTGACCTCTCTAATTTAGAGGGACCCTTTGCTGTGCTTATTATTACTCTTGGCTCTGCAAAAGAAAACAAGCAAAAAAAAAATAATAATCCAGCTTTATGATAGTTGCCTAAAAAGCGATGCACATTTGGTTTCTCTTTGAAATCTGCAATTTATTTGCGTTGTTTCAAGTGTACAAATTTCCCCCAACTTCTTCATGTCATGAGTGTGAGAAGGGCTGCTGCTCTTCAGGACCAAAGTGAAGCTGAAGCTCCATCCGTCACTGCTCTGGTGCCGCATGGATGCTGAGTCAGTGCTGGCCTAAGCATTCCAAACCCGAGTGGTTTCCTCCCACAGAGTCCGAACCTAATTCTCCCTAAGGACCATTATTTACAGGCCATGAGAAAACTTGCAACCTAAGGACGTAGCGTTTTGTCCTGTGCCTTAAAGGAGCCACACCCAGAGTGCCTGTCTAATGCGGTCTTATTTCTGTAGGTGGCACAGCATCTTGCCACCACCTACGGTGACAAAGCTTTCGAGGTGGCCAAAATGGCAAGTGTGACTGGAAAACGGTGGCCTGTTGTGGGAGTGCGTCTCGTGTCAGAGTTTCCGTACATCGAAGCAGAGGTATGTGATGGTCACAGGGGCGTCCTGTGTACTTGTGATCTGCCCTTCATCTCTGTTCATCCTACCTCTACCAGTTAGGTACTGCTAACACGTCAGCCAAAACCTGCAGTCAAGTGTCTGCTTTTCCTAGACATTTAATAGTGAGAATAGTTTGAGTGTGAATTCCAGAGTTTGTTCAGAGAACCACAACTCTGTAAATCTGGTTGTGTGTCCCAGAAACTGTAGCTCTTTAAGTTCATGTTCCTTCCATCTTGACTGGTTCCTTGTCCTCCTGCTTTGATAATTTCTCGATTTGTCTCAGCTTTCTTTCTGATACTATGAAACCAGACACCAAGCTTTGTGTATTTGTAATTCATTGTGATTGAAATCATAGTGTCCAGTCAGCTCCTCTTGTTGGTCTCTAAGACGGAAACCTTTACAGCCTGATGAATTGAAACTGACTTTTCTGTCCTCATCCTTTGCATATTTAGCTAGGTGAATAAATGTTTTCATTACGCATTAGCAAAGGGAAGTGATGCAGTTTGCGTGTCCGTGCCTCCTCCTATTTAGGAAGAAGGCATCCACTCTTACTCAACTCACCCCATTTTCCAGCCTACTGTAGAAGGCAGAGGGAGGGCACATGTGCACCACAAGAGTGTCTGTGCCTAATAGAGAACCAGAACAGTTAGAGAAAAAGATCAGCTTTTCTCAAAGCATATTTTAAAAGAAAGGGTCAAGCCAGCAATTTTTCTTTTATTTAGGTGAAATACGGGATCAAGGAATATGCCTGCACCGCAGTTGACATGATTTCACGTCGCACCCGCCTGGCCTTCCTCAATGTCCAGGCTGCAGAGGAAGCCCTGCCCAGGATTGTTGAATTAATGGGCAGAGAATTGAACTGGAGCGAGTCTAAGAAACAGGTATTGTAGAAAAGCTTTGCAACCACTGTCCCGCTTATAAACGTGTAAGAGCTTGATCTGTTTGTAAAAGGCTTGCATAACTGTTGATGGTTTTAGGTTTCCTGCTCACTTCTATATTATACATACCTAATATTTTCTTAAGAAAATGAGGAGATATTTTATTAGTTTCACTGTTACAGAAATCCAGAGAATGTTTTTTAATCCCTGGTCGTAACTCCTGGAAAAGAAAGATAACAAAAAATAGTAGGGTGCAGCCCTTTCTAGGTCTCATTGAAAACACTCTTAGGACATAATCAGTGGAGTTTCTGTTCTGGATAATCCATTGATAAAAATAGTGCTTTCACTGCCTGACCACCACGGGCTTATTATTTGTATTGTAATATTTTAAAAGATGAGAGACCTTTACAATCTGAAGAGCAAAGTAGCATTTGATGTCTTATATTTATTACCAAATTAAAAAATAATTCCAGTAATGCATAAAAACATACACACATACATATATACATAACTCCCCCACCCTCCCACAAACAACACACACACATACGCACACACACCTGGGCTATGGTAATACACAGAAAATCTTCTCCCTTCTCTGTGTCCTCCTCCTAATTAGCCCACACTATTTTCATATTCAAAGGAATACACTTTAGTTACAAACACTAAAAAAATATTTTCTTCATTTCCTGGGTCCTGTTCTTCCTTTAGCTGAATCTATGCAGCTTTTTGCAATATGTCCTTGATTAACCCTGGACAAATTCATTGAAGATGTCCATACTGCATGACATGATACACATGTCAGCTTTCCATGCTTACTGTATTTGGCGAGGTACTTGCCTTTCGCAAGTTGATTCAACTCTTCCTTTTGAATTGTTTGTTGGGAGAGAGAGAGTTTGCAATGTAGTCCAGACTGGCTTTGAGGTCTCCATCCTGCTTTTACCTCTGAGGTACTAGGAGAGTAGGGGTGTCCACAATGCCTGGCTTGAACTACTTTTTTATGCTCAGAAATATTTCTTTTGAGTCACTTTATAGCTCCTTCAAGTATTGTCCCTAGAGACTTCTCTACATTATAACAGCTCATTGCCTCTCAGCTGCTCAGGTCTCAGCTTTAGCATCATACTTTGTAGGTTCACTCAGATCCCATCTAAAGCCATTCAGACAATCTTACCATAATCATCTTCAGATCATGGTTGAGTCTCCCCTTTCTTATCGCATTCATTATTGTCACTTTGATGTAGGCTACTGGTGGTCTCTCGGGATCATTTTCCTGGCTTCTCTCCAGGGAAGCCAGTCTTCCCATCTTAACAACTTTGAGGATTTTGAGAGAATATAACCCAGACTTATCAATTGGATATTTTCAGAGTTCTTAGCTGAATGTATGTTTTAAATTGACTTTTGACCTATTAGATATATTTTGATATATTAGATAGGATCATGAAAGGACTTAACGCTGGTAGGTGAGGAAGGCGTCTCTGAGTTTTGCCTAGGAACACTTCAAAGTGTAGAAACTGGAGCAATTAGGAGGGATAGAAGAGAAATAGAATGTAGTGGCTGCTGATATTGGGGGAGGTGTAAGAGGATTTAGGGAGTTGTGTATCAGAAGGTAACAGTACCTTAGGACTGCTGTAACAGAAATACTGTCCATGGGTGCTTTGAATAGCAAACATTTATTTCTCAAGTTCACTTCTTCACTTTCTAACATGAAATCCAAGGTCAAGACCCAGGTCTAACCATCTTTTATCGTTCGTGGATGGGAGGCTCCTTGGCATATTCACACATGTAGTGAGTGAACGTTATTGAGCATCTGTCACGTGTTGATCATGCAGACAGGATTGGGCTTTTAGCCTAACCTTCAAGTGTTCGTATTAGGATGTAGATTCCTAAAGGTGGAATAACTGGGAGATTGGGTGCAAGGGTAGTTTTAATGGCTTGACTTTATTACGTTCTTCAAAGGCACAGTGGCCCTATGTCTTTAAAATTCTACTGTAGTGGTTCTTCTGAAATGAACTGATGGTAGAAATCTCTGGTGAGTGCTTCGATGACCTCATTGTGTCTGTGTGAAGAGCAGGCCTGCCCTTGGACTGCTAATGCAGTCTCCACTGGGTAGATCAGGCTGACCTGGAACTCATTGTTCTACTGCCTCTTAAGATTGTAGTTGAGGAAGCAGACCCAGTTTCTCCAAGTAGTAAACTATAGAGCTGAGTTTGAAACCTGTTCCCCAATCCCCTCCTGTTGCCTCAGAACTGGCGTATAACTCCTCCAGTTTCTGAAACTTAGCTCTTCATAGAGACAACACAAGAATGCCACTGTCTTATCATTTTTCTGTGTAGAAGAATCTGAGGTATGTTCTTATAAAAATTATAGTTGCAACAATTAGATAGGAACATATTTTGTGCTAGGAGGTAGGAAAGATAAAATTCTAAAAACCTGTTATGCTTAATGTTTCCAGGTAAACTGAGATTTGACTTTATTCCAAACTTTATGAGTAGACAGACATTTTTAGGGACACTCCTAATTTCCTTAAAGTAGCAAAAACTAAAGAGCTAAAGACACTCAGCGTGTGAGGTACAGGAGCTTAATGAGAAGAGTGGACAGTCTGGAGAGCACAGAGGAGAGGGGAAGCGTGAGTGAAAAGGTTAGGAAGTTGTCCTTCTGAGAAAAGGTTAAAAGCTTTGGGATTATTTAACCTGCAAAAGCGAAAGAGGAACAGGGTGATAAATAACTCTGCGCAGATGAATTGTGTTGTTTCTACAGTCAATACCTAATGAGTGACCCGTATACTGAATGTGGTGCCGAATAGTTTAGGGGGATAATGAATAGCTCATAGTTTCAAGGACCTTGAACTCTAAATGGGTGGATAAAACCCATGCATCTGTCAGAAATGCATGTATGTTTTCAAAGCTTACAGATATGCTTAGAGATGTCGTTCTTGGGGACTGCAAGTCAACTGACGGGAAGGATAGAGTAGGTAGGACAGCACTGTCTGGTGAGATAGGGAGTGACTGAACAGGAACGGACGTGAAGTCAAGTGCCCTTGCCAAACTGTGTACACCAGGGGATGAATTAATGTGTGTGAGAGGATGACTACATGGTCAAGCAAGGGAGATTTCGCATCAAGTAAACAAAAGAAACTTAGTTCAGATGATTTGGAACTTTTGAGATGCTGTGTGTTTTGTCAGTTCCAACAGAAATTTCCTTGGAGACCTCAGAGTAACTTGCTTTTAGGGAGGGCTGAGCAGGAAAGGGCACGGGCCTTACTTAGAACATATTTAACGCTGTCCACAGAGACAGGTAGATATTGTAATTTTCATATGAGGTACGTTTTTATTTTCATCGTGAGACTCTAAATTTCAAATTTAAAACAGAATGCATAGTCAGGTAAGAAGCAACTCTCCATGAGTTTCATTCTAGTCAGGGAATGCAATACCAGTTTCAAAAAGTAGAAAGCAAAATATATCTTCATGATCTAGGAATGGTCTTCATATTGACCCAGACTGATTTTCCAAATTATGCTCATTAAGTTTGTTGTCATTTATCAAGAATTGTGTGCTATGGGAGGTTAATAAGGGGTCACCAAGGAAAAAATGTTTCATATATGTCATTTTCATATTTGAGTAAGGATTATTAGATCAGGAAAATTCTATAGAGGCGATACATAGGGACTCCATAGGGTATTTCATACAGCCCCATAAGTGTTTGCCACACGAGTGGTTTTATGGCTAAATCGCTAGTTTTGACCTCTGAAGAGGTCTGTGATAGCAGGTTGTAAGTACTCTGTCCTTTGACCTGGTCTTTGGTTCAGCATGCCCATCCTGGTCTTTGGTTCCAACATGTCCATCCTGGTCTTTGGTTCAGCATGTCCATCCTGGTCTTTGGTTCAGCCTGTCCATCCTGGTCTTTGGTTCCAGCATGTCCATCCTGGTCTTTGGTTCCAGCATGTCCATCCTGTCTTTGGTTCCAGCATTTCCATACAGTGCTGATGCGGTGCTGCTTTGGTATGCCAGCAAGCAGAGGAGTGATTATTTGATGACAAAATGAAATAGCCAAAAGTGTACTAGGAATGTTTCTGTAGAAGCAAATGGTAAACCTTGTGCTAGGTTAGGCTAACTTCATTTATTTAAGCTAGGTTTGCCAGGGCTTATCAATATAGCACACATGAAAAAAGCAAAAGAAGGAGGCTTTAGTTTACTGTGACTGCCAATCAGTTGACAGTGGACCACGATTGTCCCCTACTCTGATGTATTCTTTCGTTGTGTTAACATAGGCCATGTAACTAGAGAGGTGGAAAGGCTTGCTGCTCCCATCTAGGTACTTGTACATCCCTGTAGGAACATGTTTTGTTCTAACTCTTGGATTATGTAACAGAATTTGTGGTCTGGAAGAAAACATCCAACGTGGCATAGAGCTTTGAAGTCGCTTCTGCTGAAGCTTTTGGCTAGAAAATCTCTAAAGAGAAAAGTCATTGATGCTGCTTTCATATGTAACCTGTGATACAGAAACATGTTCGGTTGGCTCTACCTAGCAAAGGCTTGGCCATCCCAAGCGAGTTGGAAGAGTTGGAAAGAGGTGTATTGCATCTCAGCATCAGATGTCTTAACAGGCACACCGTCCTTTCATGAGCCACACTGAGTAGAGTTAAGTCCTACTGTAGTGTGATTTAGACAGGCTCCTCCGTTCTGCTTGTGCAGGGAGCTACATTGTGACCTGGATGGCAAGATTTCTGCTTTCTTAGAAATATCGTGGTTATTTGATGGAATGTGGATAAACTTTACAAGCAATGAGGCAATATGAATTGAGTAAGAAATTACATTTGAGCAAGGCTCAGAGGCAGCATGTCCAGGGACGTGAATGTTAGAATAGTTTTTAGTAGATGGCTGGAAACAATTGATTAAAAAAAAACATTTTTAAACCACAACTGGTGCATTTTCTTGTGTGAAGAGAGAAGACTGTCATTGGAGATAGAGACTTCATGTTTAATTTAACCATACAGATGTTGGTGTGGATACATTTTACTTTTTTTAAAATGCAGCGTTCATGGTGTTTTTGATGTTATTTTTTTTGCTGCATCTGTTTCTGAAGAGAAAGGCAGTAGGAAAAGAATAATCTTAAAACCAGTTTGTCTTCCTAAGAAAACAGAGTACCGAGCCTGGTTACTACCATCGTCTACACAGTGGCTTAGCTTCCTATGCCTCACTTCATGGGCATTTGAGTTCACATTCAGTATTTGGGACCTGCTGAGTTTGTAGCATGATTTGATGTAAAGTTGGGAATTTAAGGTATCCATTTGCTTTTGCGTGAGAACATGTCAGTGGCTTAGGCTGTAGAGATGACTCAGCAATTTAGGGGACTTGGAGCTCTTGCAGAACACATCCACATCCACTTTGGGCAGGCAGCTCACAACTGTGTAACTCCAGCCCCAGGGAATCTGATGCCCTCTTGTGGACACCATGGGTACCCCACGCGTGCGCCTACCCATACACACATATAGACATAATTAAAATATAATGAAAATAAATCTTGAAATCTATCTCAATTGCTTAACACAGCCATCAGTTTTTGTTTGTTTGTTTGTTTTTGTGACATGTTCTCTCTATGTAGCCCTTGCTATCCTGGAACTCCATATGTAGGCCACAATGTCCTCAAACTCAGAGATTTGCCTGCCTCTGCCCACCCCAACACTGGGATCAAAGGTGTGTCCCTCCACATCGAGCTCAGCCAGCATTTGATGTCTCTCCTTCAGATCTAGATTGCCTTGTGTCTGTCTAAGCCATGCTCATTCTCAGGAAACAGGAACAAGAGAGAAAACTAGGATGTCTCTTTTAAAGCTGCCACTCAAAAGGGGAATATCTTGTATCTGTTCCTATTCTATTGGCCAAAGTAAGTCACATGACCAAAGCTCATAAAAGTGGGATTAAGAAATATATGCAAGGGGGAGGAGTGTGCATGTGTGTGCATTTATACGTGTGAGAAAAGAGATTTGCATACAGTATACACTGTACTATAGTTGCCTGAGGTAGTTAGATGTAACAGTAATGAAATGGAAGCTAATGGCAGCGCATGTGCAGTAGCGACTTGGGATACTGGAAGCAGTGTGAATGACTGTGGAGACTGTGGCTGTTGGAAGCTTCTAAGAGAACTTCCACATAGCTGACCACAGACACGGTAAGTCGAGTGTGGCGCACTGGGGGTTCAAGCCCTATCTGTTTCACTCTTCTTCTCTTTCATTGCCATCACGCTGTAGGAGTTTGATCTTGTAGAATTTGGTAGTCAATAGCGTAGGAGAGTCCACTACCGTAAAAGGAACAACAGAGCTAGCGCATGTAGAACAGGCATCCTTATACTGTGGGGAACCAACACAGGTGACACATGCTCTATGACATGGAAGAAAAGATGAACCAAGCCCAGGGCCCCCCAGCGGGTCCCTGGAACCAGAGGGCAGGAAGAATCAGGCACACGCAGTTGGGCATACTGGATGTGTCAGGTTACAGCAGTATTTTGGATCTGTGTTAGACTGCATCTTAAGTTGCTTAAGAAGGAATGGTAGCGCTACACCGAAACTGGATGCTGGTTCAGTGAGAATCAGTTTCTGGCAGTAAAAGAGAAAGAGAGAAATATCAATAGCTCCTATAAATCTGTGAACTCTGTGTACGTGTCTTTTCTTTTTCAGGAAGAACTTGAAATAGCCACAAAGTTTCTGTATTATGAAATGGGCTCTAAATCTCGATCAGAACAGCTCACAGATCGTTCTGAAATCAGCCTGCTGCCTTCAGACATTGATAGGTACTTCTAATAACTCTTCCTCCTCCTTCTGCTCCTCTTCCATATCCTTGTCCTCTTTCTTTCCCTCTTTTATGTAAATCTGTTTCCATTATTCAATGTGTGTGTTACAGGTACACCAAGAGATTTCTTAAGTTTGATGAAGACGAGAAGGGCTTTATTACCATTGTTGATGTTCAGCGTGTACTAGAGGTAATACATTTATTTTCATTATCAGCTTCAGGTATAGATGGATAAAGATAATATTTATTAGCATTTTTCACAAGCCATCTTTCAACTCTTGGACAGTCTAGTCACATCAGAAGAAGGCTATGCATTACGTTTAGCTAAACCTCACTCCTGTGATTTTCTGTCTAGAACATCAATGTGCAAATGGATGAAAACACGCTGCACGAAATTCTCAATGAAGTAGATTTGAACAAGAATGGGCAAGTTGAACTCAATGAATTCCTGCAGGTGAGTTGTGATGGGATAGATAGATGCTTTTGTGTTTGCTCCTGCTTATCACTGTCGTAAGATGCAATTCTTCCACCTCCCAATTAGTCACTTCATCTTGAAAATGTAGCCAGCAACAGTGGACTTATCTGCCCTCAAGGATGAGGCTCTGTTCAGGCCTGCTCGTTTTCCTCCTGTTTATAGGAGGTATCAGTTTTTTTGGCTAATTTAGATTAAATCCAAATTCATTGTGGCTTACAGAATTGTACAAGAACTATGCTTTTTACAGACTGATTCCATGGAATATGATTGCTGGACCATTGCCACACTGAGAGGCGACATATATCCAGTGTGGAAAGTCATTGTCATTTTTTTTTTTAATGGGAGAGATTACAACCTCTGGTTTTATTCATTGAAGAATCATATTCACTTAAGAATATAATTATTCACTTGTTACATTTTGAAGAGCCAGAAAAGCAAATGAGAAGAAACATCAAGATGGCAAATTTAAACATTTCTATTTCTGTCGTTGAAGTAACCAAAGTTTCAAATGTTCAGTCATTATAGCCATGAAGGAAATATGTTTTGTTACTGTAACTTCACACTCGATGCTCTACATTACCCCTTATAGTTCTGTAAAGGAAAGATATTGAACACTATCCCTAGCTGCCCATAGTCTCCGGTCATTTGAAGAATGTATTGCTTTCCAATCAGCCAGGTTGTTTTCTGTAGCGTTTCTTGGGCAGCTCTTTCAAATGAATGCCAGGTCTTGCTTGCGCCATGGCAATGATGAATGCTGAACATGAAATAAATTAATGCTGGGATTTTGGTCAATGTCATCCCTTTCTTCACTGTGTCAACTTAAACAAACAAGATCAAGGCAAAGGAAATGGTAATTGTCTCTCCAGAGATGAGCCACAGATAAGAGCATTGTGGAATCTAAATGCAGAACATTTTTACAGGTTGTGTCCAGCATCACAAAAAGAATGTTTAGTTCTTTAACTTACGGTTTCACTGCATGCCAATTTTAAATTGAATTTGAGATTTATGGTTAGGAATTAGAACACATCTAATGCCTCTTTTGTATAATTTTTCTGGGGTATATTTTATTGTCTCAGAATTTTAGAAAACTCTTCTTCAAAGGAATAGCTATCCTTCGTTTCCTGTGTTTTGTAAACAATCAACAGCATTTAAACTTTAAAAAACCCAGGGTTTTAGAGATGATAAGAATCTAATTTAATGGATAAGTTGTGTGGCTTGGGTTTTAAGTAGATTTCTTGACGGTAGTAGAGTTAAACACATAGAAAATAATTTAAACCACCTGCAGGTTTTCGTGTAGAGTTCTTAAATAATTGAGTATTTCCTGTCCAGTTCTAAATGAAAGCAACCATTCATGCCTTCAATAAGTACACAGCATAACTTCCAGCTTATAAAACACTGGCGCCTTTTCTCATGCAATCTATTCAGACCTAGATATTTTTTCTTGTAGTATGGTTTTCAGATATACATAATACTTGATGGAAAACTTTTAGTTGGTTGAGGTTGGTACAAGAAACCCAATTGGTGGCTGTGAGAGATGCCTATCTCTGACCATTGTTACCTCTGCTAAATTCCAAAGATCTTCCAGAATCAGAAAGCAGTAAACAGAAAATTGTAAATGTTTCTCAGATGTAAAGTCTGTTTTCACATTTTATTGTTGATGAAATATTGTCCTTTTCTGAAGAGATAGAGTCCACATTTACCCTGGTAAGGGTTTGCTTTCGAATATGGGTATGCAGTTTCAATCATTGTGATGGGGGGTACTATGGAGAGTGCCTGGTTGAAGGACTTTGTTTCTTCCTGTCTGGGCTTGATGACACTTGTGCGTGCAGAAGTCGGCCTCTCGTAAGCAGTTGCTAGTGAAGCAGCCTTGAATAAGGTTAGGAGATTCAGATCCAACCCCTGGGCAGCTGCCCCGGATGCCCTCGGGGAGGATGTTTTTTAAAATGCATCTCCCTAGGCTAAAACCCTAACTCTGAAATGATTTAAATATTTTTATATGTGAGGCAGAAATCCTTAATAAATAAATAAATTTAAATTAAAAAATATTTTTATATGTATCATTTTAAATATAACTAACTCTACTGAGTACATTTTTTTAATAGGAGAAACAAATCAAGAAAAGCCAAGATTTAGTTCCACATGGTTGTGAAGGAGGGGCCGCACCTTTTACTGAGAATTGGAAGGTGCTTTCCAGATTAAAGTCGCTTGCTTGCTCTCTGCATGCATTTTCAGAGCTAATACTGATTTTATCCATTGGATAAAAGTGAATTAGCTACAATCTAGGTGGTGGAGTACTTTCATTCTTAGGGCAGGTCTATTAGTCCATTTTTAATGACTCATGAATAATTTGTTTAAAAAGACTAAGAAAATTGGGTTTTAAAAGACTTGAAGTTGGCCAGGCGGTGGTGATACACACCTTTAATCCCAGCACTCGGGAGGCAGAGACAGGCAGATCTTTGCGAGTTTGAAGCCAGCCTGGTCTACAAGAGCTAGTTCCAGGACAGGCCCCAAAGCTAGAAAGATACCCTGTCTCAGGGGGAGAGAGAGAGAGAGAGAGAGAGAGAGAGAGAGAGAGAGAGACTGAGACTTGAAGTTGTCAACTATAATAACACTGAGAAGATCATAACTAAATGTAGGAGGTCGTGGTTTATCTTTGCTCTATCCCTGAGATTCCTTTTTATGATTTAAAAATAGAATTCAAGATCCAAGTGACCCAATAGGCACATTATGGCCTAAGGTGCTCGTTAAGGGTAGCCTGATCTACTTAGCTGGTGCCGTCTTTATCAGCAGTGTGAAACATTGTCTCCCTTCACCTCTTTTTGAACTGTTGGAAAGGTTGGGTGTGTGCTCGGGATGTGATGGAGCCTTCATTGCGCCTCTGCCTGGCATGGTGGTGACGTGTAGGTGCTGAGAAGAGGGGCCTGATGTGAGCTGGCCTGCTTGCTGAGTGTGTTCTCTGTTTTGATTCAAAGCTGATGAGCGCAATTCAGAAAGGAAGGGTGTCTGGAAGCCGACTTGCCATCCTGATGAAAACCGCTGAAGAGAACTTGGACCGAAGAGTTCCAATTCCTGTGGATCGTAGTTGTGGAGGATTGTGAGTCTGACCAGTCAGTCCACAGCCAGCAAGCATAGGACAGCCAGCACCATGCACCGAGCGGAGACGACTCACACCGCTCTAACATAGTGGCTATGGTAGCGTGTTTCAAACAACAACAACAACAAACACTGGAAAACATTCCAAAACTTTGAAGATGTTGGTGTATTTGCCAACTTAATTTGCCAATCCTTTGTTTTTGTTATTCAGTCTAGCTTCTAAAAAGTGCTTTTCTCATTTTTAGAGCACACTGATTTAATGTGTGTATCCATTGTGTAACCTGTTAGACTTGACACTCTGCCTTTTCACTCATTCGTTCATTCATTCATTCATTCACATCAGTTTTGGAGGCAGACTCTACAAGCTTGAAAAGAAGCTAGAAAATGTGAGCACGCAGATAGCATTATGGTTTTCTTCTTAGACATAATCATGTTTGGGGAGACTTCTCAACCCTTTCCTTCTACCTCCCCTTCCAAATATTCCTGCACACTTTCCTGTTTAGGGTAACACTGCCTAATCTGGAGAGGGAAGACAAAGTTTAGATCTGGTTAAGATTTGGTTACATTTCTAAAAGAAAAAGTCTGAAAGCTTCCAGAATCACAGGAGTAATATAAAGACAGCACTGACATTTGCCGGGAGGTACAGTGATAGTTGCTTCTCAACAGTTCATTTTTTTCCCCAGGCACTGCTGGCTTTCTTTGACTATTATAGTTGCCAGAAAAAAATCCTTGCTTTTTTTACTTTAAAACCAGCATTTGAGTGGCAAGTTGGATATAATGGGATGAGACCAAATCTTTCCATTTCTTATGGGAGTAATGATAAAACACAGTTTTCAATCCCACAAGTCCTGAATCTTGCAGTGGGTGGTATCGTCAGACCTGTTCTTCTTGGGGTGGGCAGTATTTGCAAAGAGATAATACAAAAGAATTGGGCAGACTTTAGTTAACATGAATTATAACATCAAAATAAGACATACCACTTTAATATCCAAGGACAATCTGCTTGCCAAAGCCTTTCTCTTTGTGTACTCAATGGGAAAAAATTCTCATTCTACCAAAAATAAAAAAAATAAAATAAATCAAAGAAAGACACTTCCCCCCCCACACACACAAATAAAAAACAAAACTGAATGTGCATTGAATTCAACAAATAAAGCACTGAATAGAGATGCCAGTTGGAAGATACTTCTGCTATATTCTGTTGGCATTATAACTAGTAATCTTAATATTTATTAATTGTGCTCCCTTTTTTGAAGCTGCCAATGATGGTTTTGTGTGCATAAGAGGAGATGCAGCCCTTGGTTCATACTCCTCTCCAGGCAGGTTGGGGCAGGCTGTGTGAACTGGTACATAAAGCACCTTCGTGCTACTCTTTCTGCTTATGCGGGCATGTTTTTCTGCTTCGTTCAGTATGGGTTATGAGTCCGCATATCATAATATAAACTGGGAAGTTCACTTACCTAAGCCCCTCCCCCCAAATATGCAGAAACTGCAGGGAGGGACAGCTCAACTCATTTTATTATTAAATGAAGTTTAGATACTTCCATTTCTGCAGGATAACCTGACAGAGAGCAAGTGACATCATAGCAGGTGTCGCTGAAGTTTTTCTTTCAAAGTGTTAATATTTTACACTGTTTTAAAATTATTATTTTTTGCCAGGCGGTGGTGGCGCACGCCTTTAATCCCAGCACTTGGGAGGCAGAGGCAGGCGGATCTCTGTGAGTTCGAGACCAGCCTGGTCTACAAGAGCTAGTTCCAGGTCAGGCTCCAAAGCCACAGAGAAACCCTGTCTCGAAAAAAAAAAAATTATTTTTTAATAAATGCAAGCACGTGGCTTTGCGATTGTTTTTCTATCATGACAGTTAAGTTCACTTTATACCTCGTGACAGTTAAGATGGCAGAAAAGCTGTCCTTTAAGACATCCCTCCCCCCAAAAAAAGGTACCCCAAATGATATATCACAATACTCTACATCTCTCTCTTTTCTTTTTCTCTCTTTCTAGTTAGATCAAGATAACCATGGCTTGTGTCACCCCTGATTCTCTTACAGTAGGGACTGGGCTTAGAATGTGACTTGCTCAGGCCAATCTGTGTTTGGAAAGCCGGTCTTGTTTGTACATGCTTTGCTATGGATGAAGTTCCTTTAAGGACAAAGAGAAGTGCACTTTTCTTCATTTGCGCTTATCTGCTTTGGCTTAAAAATCTGCTTGTTCTAAGACATGCTCCTTCACCAATCCCAGAGACTCACTCCTTGTGGAAATGGCATCGCTGTGAGGAAAGCACCCCAGCGTTTCCCTAGGAGTGTCTCATTAAGCCTGGACAGCTAAGCAAAGGAGAAAGGAAATAGGGGAACAAGCCCCTTTAAAACTAATTCAGAAAATGAAACATACTTTTTCCTTTTCATATAGCCCTGGTATTTGTTGACTCTGTTCCGGTGTGGGAGTGGGTGAGCGGGGATTACCTTTTATTATCAAGTGATTTATTTCAAGAGCCTCTGAGGGGATTCAGGTGAAGGAACCGCATCTGTGCTGGAGGGCTGCATACCCCTTTAACTAGCCTCCGCCTCGGTGGTAATAACAGTGATAAGGCTGGATTACTTGTTTAGCTAAGGTTGTCTGCCTCACATCCATCATGCTGCGTATTCCTGCTTTCAGTCTGTTCCCACTGAGGGTAACTTCCGATTTCTGCCATCGAGTGCATGCTTTGTATTCTGCCTTCGTTTACGGCTTGATTTTGGTCTATTTCAAAATATGTACAACAAAAATGTTCCTTCTGATTTTTAACTCAGTACAGCTTAGGGATTGTCACTGATTTTTTTCTTACCCTCTTTTTTATTCTTTGTTAAAAGGTCTTTTGCATATGAATGTAATAATGTATTGACTTCGCTGATGCTGTAAACTCTCACTGCATTTGACTCTAGGGAGTAAAAAAGCCCTACTGTGTTTTCAAAGGCTATCAAGTCTTAGTCCAGCCCCAGAGAGGACATCCTCCCTCACTGCATGCTTTTATACTGTCACACTTTTATGTATTGTGTTTGGGTTATCGTTCTGGACTGGACTGTTAAATGCTGTGTTTGAGGCTGGGTTGTCATTTTTATAACTGTCTTGGTATTTTATCACCATTATTTATTACTTTTGATATACAGAATGAGCCGCATGCATTTATAGAGCAATAAGAAGATGTATTTAATGTGCCTTGTTTTTAACTGAGTAAGAGCCGAAAGCATGAATCAATAAAAGCTGATTAAAATGGTCCATTTGCTGGCATTTCTGTGTTGCTTGTGGTCAGACAAATAACTTTAATTATTGTTGAAGTTTTTAAAAGTTTGAAAATATTTTCAGAAACTGTATTTTAAATGACACCCATTAATTATTTTACATTAGAATTTTGTAACTTTATCTTAAGTGAAGTGTCTGTAGACAGATATTATTTTATGTGACTACCAAATTATTTATTAATTTGTTGCTTCGGTTTTACGTGGCCCTAGTCTGCATTTATCCCATTACAGCTCAATCGAATTCCTTCCCACCCACCCCCATAGGCCAGAACCTCTCAGCTTTTACGTTTCCAGGCTTGCTGATGAATTTTATCATAACTAAAATCAATAGAAATGAATGGAAAAGATTACATAATCCATTTTGATCATCTTACATGTCAAGTTAGTGCAGGGTTGCCAAGCGTTGATAAATGCTCTGACAGAAAAAAATGCTATATATTTTCATTGTCAGTAAGTCAGTAAAGCTGTTATCAGTTTAATACTGGCCCAATTTTATAATGCCCATGTTATTTTATAGGTTTTAATTTGCACACGTACAGGGAGTGCTTTCTCCATTTGCGACTTAGAAGTGCTACTTCCAGGCTGAGCGTGCATTTGTGAGTCCCTTACAATCCTTCAAAACTATATCCCGAGAGAAGGTTTCCTCCCAGACAGACATGCAACAATACATCTGGGGAAAAAAAAATACAGAGCAGTTCAAAATGTTTTCCATTGATCCAGCTTATGCAATTTGATGAGACTTAACTAAAATTTGTCAAAATATTCCTCATAGTTTTCAAAACTATGTAAAATGGATGGTTACTTTCAAAAGAAGGAAGCTTGAGAGTGGCCTCAGTATTCTGCAGTGTTTGTCAACAGGATATTGTCTGGTGTCAGACCGCATCTGACGACACGTGACTTAGGAAGGAGAGGAGGAGCAACAGGAGCTTTATGTTGGTCTGGCTCCTCATAATGAGACAGTTCTGTAAGAAGGCAGAAATGATGAGCATTTTATGCCTGTACTTTGTGGTTTAGGTCTCTAATTAGCTACCCAACGTGTGCAATGCAGGCATAGAATATGACGTGTGTGAGCCCTGATGATGCCACAGACAGCCCTGTGCTGAGAGGTGCGGCGTAAAGCCAGTTGCTGTCCTTCCATCTCCTTAAATACCTGCCCAGGAACGGACGTGATCTGAGAACAATGCTGCTAGTAGAGTCACCCCTATGCTCCACGTGTGGCCTCGACCCTTTTGCTTAGCGTATGTTACCACTGGAAGTATTCACGTTGTAGTTACTTGAACCGAGGGGAAGGCTGTGTGGTACCTTCGTTAGGAAGGTATTGTATTGCATTTTGTATTTCAGTGGAATCGGGGGAGGACTGAAGTGCACAGAATGTGCCGTGGATGTTGGAGGATGGTACATGGTACAGTTGGTTTGTTCTACAGACGTCTGAGCCTTACAGACTCGTGGGCATGTGTCTGAAGCAAGCCATCCCTGCACTCATCTATCAGGTAAATGGCTCCAATAGGGCAATGTGCATCTTGCTTCTTTATCAGCTGCTGCTAGCTTTCTTTCATTGTATCAAAGAGCGAGGAAGTGGGAAGTCACACACACACACACACACACACACACCCTTCATACTTCATGCTCAGCGTTCTTTGTTAGCTTTTAGCATATCCTAAACACCTGGGTCTAATTTTTATTAGCTTTTTCTTTAACTCCAACTTAGACTTACTTGATTTTGTTTGTCTCAATAATCTAAATGTAATAAACTCAATTAACATCACACTATTCTTTTGCCTGACCTCAGTGCCCTCTTTTAATCGAGGTCTTCTGCCCTTGCCGGTCCCTTCCTCGAAGAGGTAGAGTAAACAGCCACTCCCTTTTGTATGTTGCTTGTTAGGTTTTCTCACCGTTGCTTCACTCCCCATTTTTTCCCACATCCCCATCATTAATTGATTTACAATTCATTTTTATGCACACGGAGTTTTTCCTATCCAAGTTAAGAAGCTGTAAATCTTAGATCCATTGAAATGACAGTGAGAAATATTTCATTTTAGCCCATGAATCATTTGCCATCCTGATTGCAGAAAAATGGCAAAATTATGGTGTACCATGTTTTCATAAATTACCCTTCCCCACCCCCACCCCACTGCGCTGGGTCATTTCATTATCTGTGTGGGGGAGACTCGGAGTCAGACTGTAGACACGTGGGGTAAACATCTCGGGTCTTGCAGCAGGCTAATCAAAATTTCATAACATTACAAATTAATTCCTGTGCTTTTGTGAAGAACTTAATTCGTGTACAAAATATATCATTTATTTTATAAGTCAAAAAGTAGCTCGATATGAAAGTATGCCCCACAATTGCTTGTATCAAAAAGGGGGATGGGTATTGAGTTCTTTAAATAATGTATATAATTTTCATTGGTTTCATATGTCAAAGTAGTCATTTATGTCCTGAAAGGTGGGTGCTTGGCACTATGTGTTTGAACACTATTAAAAAATCATAGCTTCTTCCAAAAAGGCCAAATCTTGGGTTTGTATTTCACATATAGAGTGAAATAATTTCTGCAGGAGCCCCACCCCCACCCCACCCCACCCTGTCTCCAGCAAGAAGTATCCTTAAGAGTAAAAAGACCCTGAAATTCCTAAAGATAAATATTTTTTAAGAGCAACACATGAAATCAGCTACCGTATCATAGCGTCCCTGAGTGGATGGATTTGGCCCTTACTCTTAACCGCCATAATAGGGTTGGGTTTTAAGGAGCCTTGGTCTGTTCTGAGAAGCCAAGTTTATCTTGGTAAAGAGGTGTGTTCCAGTGAGTTGCTGCCCTCCATCAAAATGGGCTATCTTTGAAATGGGGCTCCTCCAGCATGATGCATGCCGTAAGCAGCACTGAACCATTAAATAAAAACCAAGACAAAATGCTTTTGAAAAGGGTTAATTAGCTTTAATACTGATTTATTCCATATAGGACGCTAATAGACCAGAACATTTACTTCTGTTTTGGGTCATTAAAAACTGGCTCTAGTTCTGGAACAATTTGTTTCTAATAATTAAAAATTAGACCAATTAGAGTAGTCTTCATATAACCTGGTCGCCATGATGTACTTTTTAGGAAAAGGAAAACCTAACTCACTATTTCTCAATTCCTTGTGATCTCAGCCACAAAAGCACACAAGATTGAGAAGATCACTGAGCCCAAGCCTGGAGCCTTTCTCCTTTAGCCCTAAAAGGACCTGTGAGGTGTGTGTGTGTGTGTGTGTGTGTGTGTGTGTGTGTGTAGAGGTATTAATGTATACACTGAGATCAGGAAAACTCAATTGCTGTGTGCTCTTGCCGGAGTCACATTTCCCTAATAGTCGTTGCATCTCCATCGCTGGGACTTAGCTTTCTCCATTCGTTTGAAATGTGACTACACTGGAGAAGTTTCCAGTGACCTCTGAGGTGCTGTCTGTCTGCAGGGGAGGTCTCCCTTGCTGGGTCGAGTTTTTGTTCTTATGCTGCCCTCTAATGGATACCAAATTATTTCATTAGACCCAGAACAAAAGTAAATTTTCAGCTTCTTGGGGCTCCCGGTGCCAGCCCATCAGTCTTGGGAATGGTGATCTGACCTGCTTGCCCTTTGCACGTGTTCAGGTGTAGGAGACATTTGTGTTAATTGTGTCCTGCTGCCCTGGCCAAAGCTGCGTTCCTCATCTGGACAGTAAAGAGACAGCAAATGCTAATGCGTGTTCTGTCAAACTTTCCTTTTTTTTTTTTTCCTTGCCAGCAATTGTAAAGAATTGATGTTCTAGGGTACTTAAAAATGAGGAATAAAAACAGTGTAAGTGCTGTATTAAGATGATATGCTGTATGTTTTATCAGCCACTGGCACCTAGTTCAAAAGACAAAAAAAAAATTAGCAGCCGCGGTTTGGGAATAGGCCTGCGCTCGAGGTGGCTCTCCAATCCATACGTGAAGAATATCAGCGGTTTTCACGTGCTGCTTTCTGACACCCATTGCTAGGGCTGAAAACTATCTCTATTGTCCAGTTTGATTGCTTGAATCAAACTGATTTACAGCAAATCCATCTGAGCTTTGATAAATCTATTACAGTTTCATTTCACTGATTTCATTAACGTGAATAAAACCAGCCATGCTTTCTGCATAACTGCCTTTTAATGGCTTGGCCCTGTCACCTGCCTGAATATTAATCCCCCTGACTTATTGCTCCACAGAGGGAATGAGTAATGGGTATTTGAATGTGATCAGCACAGTACAATGCAATTAAGGAAGCAGTACTGTTCTGTGCCTTTAATCCTGAACTAATTTGAATTGCAGTTTGATAGCACAGTGAATCCTGCATAATTATGTAGGGTGCATATTAAACTCTGTGACAAACCGGAGAAGCTTTTAACCATCACAGCTATGGTAGACAAGTGAAGGCTAGAGCCAGAGAGTCCCACTATTGGACCGAGAGCTCAATTAATAGGAAACCCTCAGCAGGGATGGCTTGGCCATGCAACGTATCTTTGGAACAAAAAATGTGAGCCGTTGACTTGCTCCAAATCAATTTTAATTTGCACGTATTGGAGTTTTCAGAGTCCCTTTTGAGTTTGCAACGTAACAAGGGTAGAGAAGTGCGCCAGAGCAAAACTTTATACTGTCTCAATTCCTGTAGCAGTGAAGACCCGCAGCCATCACAGATCACAGCTAGGAAAACAAACACGTGTGTACACACTCATGAACACACACATATATATATAGCTGTCTAGAATGTCCTCACTCAATAGACCGTCATTTCCCAGAAGTCTGGATGTCATTTCATGGAGTCGGGCTTCCTGAGGCCATGAGAATGCTCTTATTACTCTATATTAACTCTAAGGAAAATAAAACAAGTATTCTCTTGACTTTGGATCTTTTGTTAATATACTAATTTGGATTATTACTTAGGATTTTTTTTTTTTAATTTTAGAAACAGACCAGAATATGACAACTCTAGGCTGCTGTA